AACAGAGCATGAGGGTTCCCTTTTCTCCACATCCTTGCCAACACTTGTTGTTTGTTGATTTATTGATGATAGCCATTCTGACAGCTGTGAGGTGATATCTCATTGTGATTTTAATTTGCATTTCTCTGATGATTAGTGACCTTGAACATCTTTTCATGTGTCTGTTAGCCATCTGTATTTCCTCTTTGGAGAAGTATCTGTTCAGGTCTTCTGCCCATTTTTTAATTGGACTTTGTTTTTTTGTTGTTGAGTTGTTTAAGTTCTTTATAAAGTTTGGATATTAACCCCTTATCAGATGTATCGTTAATGAATATTTTCTCCCAGTCGATTGTCTTTTTGTTTTGTTGATGGTTTCCTTTGCTATACAAAATCTATTTAGTTTTTCTTTTGTTTCCCTTGCCCACGGAGATATACCTGATAAGAAATTCCTGTTAGTAATATCAGAGAGTTTACTGCCTATGTTTTCTTCTAAAAGTTTTATGATTTCACGTCTTATATTTAAATTTTTAATCCATTTTGATTCTTGTATATGGTGTAAGAAGATGGTCCCCCTTCTTTTATTTTGCCTGTATCTGTCCAATTTTCCCAACACCATTTATTGAAGAGACTGTCTTTACCCCACTGTATATTCTTACTTCCTTTGTCATATATTTAAATAAGCATATAGGCGTGCATTTATTTCTGGGCTCTCTATTCTGTTCCTTTGATCAATGTATCTGTTTTTATGCCAGTACCATGCTACTTTGATTACTGTAGCCTTGTAGTAGAGTTTGATATGAGGTAGTGTGATACCTCCAACTTTGTCTTCTTTCTCAAGATTGCCCTGGCCATTCGGGTTTTTTTATGGCTCCATATGAATTTTAGGATTATCTGTGCTAGCTCCCTGAAAAATGCCATTGGTATTTTGATAGGGATTGCATTGAATCTATAGATTGCTTTGGGTAGTATCGCCATTTTAACAATGTTGATTCTTCTTACCCATGAACAGGGTATATGCTTCCATTTATTTGTATCTTCTTCAGTTTCTTTTTCAATGACATAATTTTCTGAAAAGAGATCTTCTTGGTTAATTTGATTCCCAGGTATTTTATAGTTTTCGACGCAATCGTAAATGGGACTGTTTTCTTAATTTCTCTTTCTGAAAGTTCATCATTGGTATATAAAAATGCCACTGACTTCTGAATATTTATTTTGTGACCCGCTACTTTATGGAATTCATCGATCAGTTCTAACAGTTTTCTGGTGGAATCTTTAGGGTTCTCTATATATAGTATCATGTCAACAGCAAATAACGACAGTTTTACTTCTTCCTTTCCAATTTGGATGCCTTTTATTTCTCTTTCTTGTCTTATTGCTGTCACTGATTTTTTTCTTGATCTCAAAGTTTCTTAAAAGGTTTCATTCACCATTCTACTACTGAGTATGATGACTTCTTTTACATACAAAACATTTCTTTTATATATGTTTATATAGGTATACACAAATATGTGTACTCTTTATCAGATTAAGCAAGTTTCCTAAGACAATTTGCTGAGAGGTTTTAAAACGAATGAATGTTGAACTTTACCAAATACAGTTCTTGTACTGATTGATGTGGTCATATAATTTTCCTTCTTTATTCTGTTAATGTGATTAATTACATTGATTTTTAAAATGATAACTTGCATTCCTGGAATAAACCCAACTTGGTAATAATTTAATATCCTTTCTAAATATTGCTGGATTCAATTTGTTAATATTTTGCTTAGGATTTTTGCATCTGTATTCATAAAATAGGTTTTTTTTTTTTAATCTTTGTCATGATACCCTTGATAGTTTTTGCTTTAAAATTGTACTTGTTGGCCTCAAAAAATTAGTCAAGGAATGCTCTTTATTTTTTCTGTTCCCTGGATGAGTATGTGTAAGATTGTCTAATTCTTCTTAAATGTTTTTGGAATACGTTTGTGAAGCTATCTGGCTTGGACTATTTTCATGAAAAGGATATTTTTTATAGATTCCCCAGAAAGAATGGAAACCTTGAGAGTCTTTCATTGCCCAGGAATTTCTGATGGGTAAGACAGAGAGGTTGGGGTATATGGCATTTCAAATTGCCTGACGTTTTCCTAAAATGACCTTGCCCTTGGTTCCCACCTATCTTGCCACACTTTCCCTGAGCCAGTAGGTCTGTGGGACAACAGGTTTATGAGCATGAATCTATGATCCAGACTCAGGTCTTTCAGAGCAGAAGGCCCTGTTGTTGGGCAGAGTGCAAAAAAGTGGGGGGTGGAGGAGGGACTGGTTTAAGCAGACAGAGGCTCTTTGTTTGCTCTGTTTCTTTGTAAATGAAGCAACATTTGGAAACAACAAATATTGGTTTAGAGAACAAATGCCTTTCTGCCCATCCTCTGTAGTTCAGCTACCCAACCCCCCTGCACGTACACACAAATTCAGCTCTTTCTACAGGAGGGCCAAACTTGTTGAAATTTAAGAGTTTTATTCAGTTTATGATAGAAGATTTGGATCATGACTTGGATTGTTCGATACCTGGAAAATCTCCCATCTCCTCTCTCTCTCTCCCCCTCTTCCCCCCTCTTTCCCCCCCTTCCCCCCTTTTCCTTCTGTCTCTGTCTCTGTCTCTCTTTTTCCCTCTCCTCCTCTCTCTCTCCCTCTCTCCTTTCTCCCCTTCCTTTCTTCCTTTCTCTCCTCCTCTTCTGGATAAATAAAGAGAAGATCAATATTAAAGAAGGCAGCTATGGTCTAGAGAAGGCTAGGACACTTAGGATTTTCGAGTTCAGGTTCCAGAGCTCTGTGAATGAGTTGTCATTTTACTGAAATGTCCACATCTGAAAAAAGGGGATACTGATTTTATCTCCTACGGTAGTCAATCAAGGTCACAAGAGCATGACCCAGAACAATGCTTAGCACATGGAAGGGCTGCAAACATGACTTTCCTTCCATCTGAGCATAAGCCAGTATGTGTCTGGGGTTCTGCAGCTGGGGTACTCAGACCTCTCCCAGATGGACCTGCCCCTCTGCAAACACAAAGCTGGGGCTGCATGTCTGTGTAGAAAGGGCTTAGAGTGCTCTTTCTGTTCTTGCAGATGAGCCCCTGGGTTCTTTGTGTCCCTGTTTCCTAGGAGAAGGAGTATCCCTGATGAGTGGATAGATACACTCTGAAACCAGACTGCCTGATTTGCATCTTCGTGGGCTTGGAATCAGAGGGTTCCACTGAGGCAGGGCATAGGGTTGGCTGGTCTGGAGAGGGCTCAGCCTGGTCAGATGGTGCTCTCTCTCAATGGCTCAGACTAGGCTGTGGTCCTGTCCCCAGAGGAGCAGCCTCAGGAAATGCTCACTATGTGAGTGCAATAGGGGCCCAGGGAAGAGAATCATGGTCCATTGGCCTTCCATAGTGCCCACCAAGTTCCCCTGAGTTTGTGGATTAGCTCAACATTTGGCAACTCTCCCTACTTCCAGGCAGACTTTGCTACCTCACCGTAGGGCATAAGGAAGGCATCAGTTGAGTGTGGGCATGCCTGCTCTGCAAAGTCCCCTCCAAACCAGCCCTGCCCCTGACTTTTCCCCTTCCATCTTCATCTCTGTATCTGAAGGTCCCCACATGAAACCAGACCCCCTCCCCTCAATGCCTTTCAGTCATGAGAGGAATACAAATTTATGAAAAGATAAGTTAGTTTACTTAGTTTAAAAAGTTTAAATATATTAGTTTAAAAATATATTACTTTAAGTATATATTAGTTTAAAAAGTACATATGTAGAATGTACAACCTCACTAGTTTTCCTCATAAAGATATACAATCAAAACGGTTTGGAGACCCGTAAGCTGGAGGGAGCCCAGGATGACCCAGGACTTTGAGATCAGGCCAATCCTCCCCCGGGGCCCCTTTCTCTGTGCTCATGTCACTTTGTTCTGAGTCTTACAGAACCTTGACCACATTCCTGGGCAGCTTTTGTGGGAGAGACTTTGTCTCCCCTGTGACTCTGTCCCTAGGCCAAAGTGTCCAGCAGGCTGCATGTAGGGGAGGTTTCCAGTCCCAGAGCCTTAGCTCAGCAGGGCACAGGGGAGACAGCAGCTCCTCAGTGAGGCAGGCCTTTGAGAGCCCAGGATCAGAGTCTCTGGGGACACCTGGGAACAAGTGAAGGGTGTCAGCCTGCTTATCTTTGACTTGAGGCCAGCTTTATTCTTCTTTGACATCTTCTCCCAGGAAGGTCTTTGCCTGTCACTCCCCGGTTCTAGTTTGGATCTCGGTCAGTTCTCTTCCCTCTTCCATCTGTGGAATGACCAGTTCTGCCATCTAAGGATTCAGGAACAGAGCTACCCGCCCCTGGCCGCCGCCTCCTCTCCTCCTCCATCCCTCTCCACCCCACCACCCACCCCTCCCTCCTGCACCCCCCT